TTCTTCGACCATACAAACATTGAGCACTCCTTCACCAACCATACGTACATACCACTCACGGTCCTCGACCAAGACCTCGACTTCGAACATCTCTTCATACGCACCGTACTGTGCATGCGTCTCGTCATCTTGGCCTGCTTCGATCGCGCCCAACATCTCCTCTTCAACCTTGATTACCTCGACCAAGACCTTACCCTTGACATCAACTTCGACGAACGACTCCTCTTGAAGGTATCCTAGAAATTCGGACGAGAATGTAGGTTCCTCGTCGCCTTTGACCAATCCCTCACTCTTGATGTCGAACACTTTGTTTGCCACGCACGTTTCCTTGTCAAGGCCCTCCTCTACCACGAACAAGATCTCTTCCTTGACCTCGACTTGTTGCCCTTCCTCCCTGATCCTGAGTTGTCTTTCATACTCCTCCTTTTGCTCGTACATCTCCTCCAAATAATCTCGCTCCCAAGGGGTTAATTCCCTCTCCGAACCTTTCAAATATTCGAGATCTTCTTGATCCCACTCGTCTATTGGTAACATCATGACTCTCTTTTTTTTGACTCTAAATAAAAATTCGAAAATAATAGGGGAAAAATTCGAAAGATTCGAACCCCCAACAAGACTCAAAAAAATTTAACCAAAAAGAAATTTGGCCCCTCAACAAAAGGTAATAACCGAACAAAAAATCAAACAAAACAAAGGACTAACAAGATGACACTTTTTTTTAAGACACGAAAAATTGAAAAATTCGAATAAAAAATTCGAAAATTTCGAACAAAAAAATAACAAAAATTCGGTCCCCTCAGCAAAAGGCAAAACCGAAAAAAAAAGATAGGATAAATAAAAACACGATCAACACCTCTCAATGAAAGCACCAATGATGAAGGACCGCTGATCGGTGTTGTTATTTATACGTTGGGTGTGAACAAACGGCGCACTCAGGGCCTTCGTTTATCCACGATAGGTGTATCTAACAGACGCACTACGGCCTTCTCCTAGATACCGTGACTTCAAGACGCTCTAATGGCCTTCTCTCTGACACTGTATGTAAACACGCACTAACGGCCTTGTTTAGACATACGTAAGAACAACAAGTTCCCCCTATGAGATTCACTCATCAATTCCAAGACTCAACATGTTTATTAATGAAGAGGTACATGAGTATTTATAGTTGCAAAATAAATCTAAGCCTAATAGATCTAGATCACCTATTCTATGCAATAAAATAAATCATAATGCTAATAAATCTCCTAACATATTAATTAAAAGCATAAAGGAAATAAATCCTAACATAACTAAAATACTAATTAATTGTCTTGCACACCAAGTATCTTGATGCCCAAGTCTTCTTTGCCTTCCAAACTCTTCGTCCCTTATTCCTTCGCGCGCGTTGTATCGGGCGCGCACCACGCACGCGTCTTCGCTACGCCTAGTCCCGCGCGGCAAGGGTCATCCGCGCTTGCATCCCAATCGCGCCCGCTGGCCTGCACCGTACGCTCGTCACCCGTTCCTTGCGCGTGCGTGTCCCAGCCCGCTACTCCTACGCCCACTCGATCTCGGTCTCTGCCCGCGTTGCTGATCCACTCGCGCGCCAATGTGCGCGCCACATCTCCGCTGGCCTGCTCCCGCGCGTCCCCACCACCTTCGCGGTTGCTGCCCACGCTCAAGGCCTCCGCGCCATCATCGCGTTCGCCCGTCAACTTGCGCGTCCCTGCCCCGCGCTCGCTGACCCATGCGCCTATAGCCCATGCATCTTTCGCACGATCACCCGACCACTCGCGCGCATCATGTCGCGATGCGCGTTCTTCGCTCGTGCTTGCCCATCTATAGCAGTCCCTCTTGCGTGCCATCCACCCAACAACCTCCCCCTGCGCGCCACTTCGCCTATTCTCCAAACGCCATGCACGTCTACGCCATTGCGCGTGTGCGCGCCCTTGTCTACTGCCTTGTACGCGCCGCTTGTCATGTGCTCGAGTTCCCCGCATAGGAGCTCGTACCCGTCTCTTAGGCCATGAATGCGTCATTTTGGCCCCATTATCAGCATTATCGGGTCGTCTCGACTCTTGGCCCTTTTTGTCACAGGGGTCCGGAAACCAGTTCCGTATCACAGCGTCCCAGCGCATGCCAGCGCACGCCAGCACCCAGCACCGCGGCCCAGCGTGATGCGGAAGTGGCTAGGTTGCTCAAAAACGCCGCCAGTCGGGCCTACCATGCACGCAAGAGGCAAGCACGAGTAACGGCAGAAATGCGCGCACTTGAGCATAGTGCACGCGAGGGTTGCGAAAAGGGCGTGGCCATGGGCAAGAATGATCGCACATACACGGCGAGCAGGCAATGGCTGGCCAGCGGGTGCGCGCGGTTGGGGCACGAGAGCGGAACACGGACGGCTGGCGAGGACGCGCACATGATGGGTGCAGCGAAGCAGCACGCGGGCACGGGTGAACAGGGCGCGCGGGCCGCGGATGAAGGGGGCGCGCGCGCAGAAGGACCGCGCAGAGGGGCAACACGCGCGAACGAACCCTCAGTCCTTGAGGAATGCGGACAACCGGGCGGGGGGCACGCGCGCACTGAGGCGGCGGGTAGCAAGGCCGTGCGCGGCACGACAGATGGGCGACACGCACGCGAGGATGACGGAGCCCTAGTCCTCGAGGACTAGGGCATGGGCGAGGGCGGCAACCGACCTAAGGCGTGCGTGCGCGGGAGTAAGAGAGAGAGAGAATTGCTTGGAGTGCACACCAAGAGATCTAGTTTCCATCTAGTATTATATTTTCTAGCTGGTTTAGGATTCCTAATATTTTTTTGCTTTATTAGTTTCCTAGGTAGATTATGTAACACCCCGCTATTTTGTAATACATCAAAGTACGCCATTTTCGCAAATTTTCTGAATAAATAAATAAAACACTTATTTTGCGAAAGCTGATTCGGGGGCTACCGTGAAAAACTTAATTTCTGAAAACCGTTAAAATTTAAACTGATGCATAAAACCAACAGTCGTAATGTCTTATCCGACTAACGTCGGAGCAAAGTCTGAATAAAAGTACTTGAAAGTTTTAGCGGAAGTCTAGCGTGGCAAAAACATAAAGGTTCGATAATAAGTTCTGAAAAGTTTTAGCCTCCAACATCAAGTACAGAAATCATAAATGTCCTGAACAGCTCGCCCGCTCACTCCTCATCTCCGACCCTGCGACCTGAAAAACATGAAAGGTGTGGGGCGTGAGCACTAAGGCACTGTGCTCCGCAGAAACTCATGCTAATGTACAACATCGTAAATAATAACATGATCATGAACTAAGCATGTATAACTGAACTGATATCTGATAACTAATAAAAACCGGTCTGATCTCGCGACCGAAGTCACGTAACTGATAACGGAATCTCGCGACATAAGTCACGTCTGAACTGAACCTGAACATCTGCCGGCAAAGCCGGACGCCATGTGCA